TCTAAACCCTAGATAACATTGGCTGAGTAAATTAGGAGTCTCATTATTGGAGAACCTGCTCGTCTCAGGGACCAACCTAATGAATGTTTCCTATACTTCCTCGACGCAAGGGAGAGATATAAAAAAAATTATATATTGAAGAAAAATTGCCCACAAAATACTCCAGGTAATGTCTCTCATTATATGAGTGTAGCAAGAATTCTCAATTCCTACAATCCAAACCCCTTGCAATGATGGCCAACTTGCCATTTGCATCCCTAATTGCTTGCTCTCACTGTGGCCCACATGTTAATACAGTGTTCCCTTGAAAATCGTATTCAAATCTCTATGAACATTAGCATTTACAAGTTTCAGAAATTTTGATAAAAATCTCCTTTTCTATTCCTGTGACCTCTCACTTTGAACTTTATTCTCCAGTTATGATCTTGTAGCCCACTCACTTAACCTAAATATATCTTTTCAATCTCTCTGCATTCTCACAACTTTCATTTCCACCTAGCTTTGTATTATCTACAAACTTAGAAACATTACTCTCTCTACTGTGGTGCTCATATTGGGTGGCTTGGTGGCTCAGCGGTTAGCACTGCTGCCTCACAGCGCCAGAGACCCAGGTTCAGTTCCAGCCTTGGTGACAGTCTGTGTGGAGTTTTCTTGTTCTCCCTGCGTCTGTGTATGTTTCCCTCAGGTGCTCCAGTTTCCTCCCACAGTCCAAAGATGTGCAGGTTAGGTGGATTGGCCATGCTAAATTGTCTGCAGTGACAGGGATGATGTGGAGGTGCCATTGTTGGACAAAGTCGCAAGTCACGTGACACCAGGTTACAGTCCAACAGGTGCAGTTGAAATCACAAGCTTTCGGAGCCCTACTGCTTCATTGCATGACGAAGTTCTGACTTTGTAACAAGGGATGTGTAGGCTAGGAGGGTTAGCCATGGTAAGTGTGGGGTTATGGGTATAGGATAGGAAGCTGGGTCTGGGTTGAATGCTCTTTGGAGGATCCGTAGGTTGAATCTACTGTCTGATATGAAGAAAACAGCAGAGGTTCTTTTTTTAAATATTTATTCATTCATGGGATTTGAGCACCTCTGTCTATACCAGCATTTAATAACCTGAGGGTGGGGTTAACACAACCACATTGCTGTGGGGTCTGGAGTCACATGTAGGCCACACCAAGTAAGGCTGGCATCTCCTTCCCTAAAGGGCATTGGTGAACCAGATGGGTTTTCCCAACAATTGACAATTGATTCATGGTCATCATTAGACTCTTGACTCAAGTATTTTATTGAATTCAAATTCTGCACTCTGCAGTGGCAGGATTCGAATCCAGGCCCCCAGGACATCACCTGGGTCTTTGAATTTACAGTCCAGCAATAATACTACTAGGCCATTGCATCCGCATATGATGGGCTGAATGGCCTGTTGGCCTTGTTGCTATAATCTATACTTCAATGTTAGATCCTTGGCCAATATTTTTTGATCTGTCAGCAACAACAGTAATGGCCAAATTTACATTTATTTGATGGGCTGAATGGCCTCTTTACACACTGTAGGCATTCAATGATTCTATAGAACTTTGCAGAGGGATGAGAATCTCTGGGTTAACTCTAATTAAAAGGCAGTAAAGGTGCTGAGTTGTTGTTCTCCAAGGGAGAATTTGTGTTGAACATTTTGATTTTTTTTCCAAATGTTTCCCACTGTTCATTCATGGCTTTAATATTTAGTTAATTTCTCCATTCAAGCCTCCATTCATCTATTTATTCATTCAGCCCTCCCCTTACACCATGGTAATTGGCTTTGTTTATGATTCTTGTTTCAGATTACAGTAAGTCCATTTCAAACTCAACATTGAATTTAATTGCATTGTGATCACTGGTTCCCAGCAGATTTTTGCTTTGACATCACTAATTAACCCTACCTCACTGCATAATCCAGATCAAAAATTATGTTATTCCTAGTTGGTTTTGTAAGTATTGCTTCAGGAAATTGTCCTAATTGTCATTGTTTGCAAACTTATCTTCAAGACCACCCTCACAGATTTGATTGGTCTTTGCTATATGCAAATTAAAGCACCCCCCGCTTCTCCCCCAGTTATTACACTGTCTTTGTTGCACAACTAAACATTTTTGAAAAACTGCACAAAACCAGGATTGAATCAATTATCTGGTATGGAGAAAACACCAGAGGATTTGATGGGCTGAATGGCCTGTTGGCCTCATTGCTATATTCTATACTTCAGTGTTAGATCCTTCACTGCCATTTTTAGCAACAATGGTTATGGCCAAATTTACATATGTCGGCATTATTCCCATTCACCATTAACCTCCCAAGATGGACAACAGAATTGTATCTGCAAAACGACAGGATGATGAGATAAGTTGGCTTCTTCAGCTGCCAGAAACAATTATGGTGAAACCATGCAGGGCGACAGCTTTAAATTAAAGATCTTGATAGACTCAACCACAATAGAATATAACTTGTCAGATTCACTGCAGTTAATTCATCCAACCAGTGAGATGTCAGTTCTGCCAGAACATGGTGAGGTCTGAAGTGGTGATTTAATTATCCACTGCTTTTATAAATTTATCCAGAAAATACACTGCAGACTTTTTTTTATTAAATATAGAAATCAGCAATATTCCCTGAATAAGATTAATCTTAACATCACATGGGACCAAAACACTTTGGACAATATCAGCTCTGGTTAAATTTTGCACTTACATTGCAAGACCCCATCATTTGACACTCTACCTAATTGATCCAAAAAGTTTGAATACCATTTTCAAAATAGAAGTTCCAAACATATAAACAACTTTTTAAAAACATCAGCCTATAGCTGTCAACACCTCCACTGGTAAGATTGTATCATTAAAACATGATAAATTTAAAATAGCCAGTTTCTATTATAAATGGGAACTCAGGAATAACACTGGTTGATATGAGAAATGTGCAGATGTTTTCATCATATATATTCATTCAATAGAATCATAGAATTCCTGCAGTGTGGAAGCAGGCCAATCAGCCCATTGAGTCCATACAAACCCTCCAAAGAGAGTCCCAACCAGATCCACTCCCCTATCCGATCGCTGTAACACTGCATTTCTCATGGCTAATGTACTTAGTCTGGACATCCCTGAACACTATGGTAAGTTTGTATGGCCAATTCCACCCAACTTGCACATCATTGGACTATGCATTATGCATCATACACAGTTATAACCATCATGTACCATTTTCTGATACATTTCAGCTATCATTTCTTGACCTAATTTTTGATCCATTCACAGAACATGACATCACTGGCAAAGCTACTCCAAATCGCCCTCAACAAGTGGCACTGAGCATCTTGTGGAAACACTGAAGCCCCTGTGATATAGGGACTCATACTGTGATGTTAAGGAAGAAATTTCAGGCTTTTGACCCAGCAAGAGAGGAGGGGTGGCGATATATTCCAGACTTATGCCTAGTAGATGGTAGACAGGCTTTGGGGGAGTCAGAAGATGAGTCATTTGCTGCAGGATTCCGAGCCCCTGACCTGCTCTTGTAGCTACAGGACTTATGTCACTGCTCCAGTTGTGTTTATTCATGTTAGCATGTTGATGGTGGAGGATTCAGAGATGACAAGGAATTGTTAAGAAGTGGTTGGAGATTCTCTATTGTTGAAGATAGTCTTCGCCTGGCATTCACATGGCATGAATATTATTTGCCACTTATCAGCCCAAGCCTGAATGCAGCCTGGATCTTGCTGCACACAGACATGGATTGCTTCATTACAGGAGAAGTTGCAAATGGAACTTGTAATTGACGTGACACCTTTAAGACTAATCAACATTTAACCAAATTGAACAAAGCACATCCATTATACCTCATGACCTTTAAGGGGATGCACCACATTTTACTGAAAGTGCAGCTCTGTGCAAAATACATGATATAGTGGCATTGACATTATTAAACAGAACAACCTGTAATGAGCAATGCTATAGAAAATTTTCTAGCATATTAATTATGTAACTGAATGATTACATCTTACATCAATTCCTGTTCACCTCTAAAATTTACCAATTACACAATTAAACTGAAAGGGCCTTTACAACTGGTCATGTTGAAGTTCTGAGCTCCTCAACACTGACATTTTAATGCACAAAGCTATTTCTTTGTTTCCCAAATATTCAACGATGATACGAACAGTACAAAATCCAGTTTTATATCAAAACAGGGAGGACATAATGTACAGTTTTACAATGGGAACAGAGATCCCAGGCTCAATTATTACCCATCTTTAAGTCGGCTGTATCATAAGTTGACA